AATGTTCCAAGACTACGTCTTAGGTGACCAATATTTGGATTTCGAATATTTCTCATTTTTAGACCAGCAGTTTTAAACGTGGCAGCATAATTAATCTTTGATATCCAATCATTCATTTCATCCTCATTTTCAGCTTTAAATAAATATTGATGTCCTTTTGGACATACTAAACGAAAAACATTTTTATGTTTCTTATAATTTTTATCATAAACTGCTACCGAATCTGATGTCATGAGTATTACATCAGGTTTTAAGATTGGTAACGTTGATTTCTAAAAAAAAAATTCATCGATATTTAAATTTAAATGAATGTTCATTAAGTTTTTTCATCAAAAAAAAAAAAAAAATCAAAACAAACCTCAGAATTATTCAACTTTTTCATTTGTGAATTGAACCCTGCTTCATCTTTAAAAATCATCAATTGACTACCACTCAATATTACACCATATATTTTCCAATGCCTTATGAAACTACTTTTCCTTTTACCATCAACTAAATCAATTTTTCTTCCAAGTTTACCACATTTGGTTATATTTAGAAGGAAAGCACCATCATCATTTGTTGATTGAAAAGAACCAGACGTATCTTTAAATGTATGACTTTTATGTCTGTTTTTAACACCAGTAATTCGAATTGTATTTGATGTAGAAAATACACGATGAAGATTTGTGATGTCTAAAGCTGGTAAGGTTCCCATATAAGAATATGGATTTTCCGTGGGAACGATATCTTTAATTTTAGGTTTAAATTCCGTAGGTGATTTCTATTTATATCATCAATAAAAAATAAAATAAAATAAAATAAAAAATTAGATTATAAAATAATTAAATCGGAAAACATTATTAATTTGAACTTACAGTTTGTATAACCCAGTAAGGATCATTTTTAAAACGTGTAGATTTTCTTCGTTCTTTTGAAGAAAATAATCTCATTTGACGATGCTGTGTCGGTGATCCAAGCAATGTTTGACCATTAACATCAGTATCATCTTGAGCATATATGAATTGAGTAAATGTAATATTATCATAAAGAATCTATAAATATAATATATTATATGAGTTAATAGTAATATAATAACATATGGTTATTCGACATTGATGATAATTACCTCTAATATTTCTGAATTAACACCATCGATGCGCGTGTTCTTGACAAATTCTTCCTTTGTCATTTTTTGTTTTACACTTTTATTGTAAACATCTGTGTGAAGCATTAATAAAGAAAATGCAAGCATATAAGGGGTATCTAATTTTTTTTAAAAAAAAGTATAATAGTTATTAGTAATGAATAGTAATCAATAGTAATCAATAGTAATTAGTAATAATTAGTAATAATTCTTAAAGTAATTTACCCGCAGAAGGAAATAGATCAGGATTTGATTCATGATAACTTTTAGCAAATGCTTCCATAACTCGATCAATTTGTTGTGTTTCTTTAGGTAAACTACATTCCATTAAAAGTTTTCTGATATTAATGCAAGCATATATTTAGTCATTTAAATAGTTAATTATCAATTTACAAACATATATTTAATCTTATTAGAAATATTACCTCAACGCAAGATCGATAGGAACTTTTTCAAATTCAAAAATTTCCATGTAAGCTTTTAGTGCGGATTGATGAAAATTATCAGCTCTATAAATTATGAAAAATAATATTTTATTAACTAAATGTCATCTAATAATGCATGTACTAATTTCACGCGACTTAGTAACAACAAAAAAAAAAAAACTCACTTTTGTGTTAATATGGTGACCAATTTTGATCTTGAAACACTATACATCATTCTGTCAAGATATTGTTTCGGAGTCTCTTTATCAATTTTTGCTTCAAACACATTTAAATCCACCATTGACTTTGACGAAGTTATTTTATTTAAATTATTAATCATTGACGTTGATATAGATGGAACATTTAAAATAGGAGCTGATCCCGTGCGTTTATGCTTTTGAGGTATTTTAGTAGGACTTTCTCCAATAACTGAGCCCCTACCTTTAGACTCTGAAGAGATTTTAGGATTAGAAGGGTTTTTGAAATTAGACTCCGAAGAGGTTTTAGAATTAAATTCTGAAGAAATTTTAGAATTATGTATGGTTGAACTTCTGCTACGTCGAATTTTACTTTCAACATGTGAGGATATGGGTGGATTTGTTGAGGAGGAGATTATTGGATCATTTTTTGGATTTAAAGAAGATTCATTGTGATTTGATTGATTAATCTTTATTGGTAACGATGAGGATTTGATAGGTTTGGTAGCTAATGGTTTTGATGTTGATGATAAAATGATCTTTTCATCCAAAGAGTTCTTAGATGATGACTTTAAGGTTGATAAACTAGGGCTTTCCTTGATATTATTTGGAGGTTTAAGCAGATCACGGTCGAAATTATTATCATTTGCACTGTCATCATCAGAATCTTTATTGGGAGAAACTGTAGTAGTTGTAATTGTAGTGACTGTAGTTGTGGTGGTCGTTTTTGTAACTGTTCCACCAGGTAATTTTAAATCATCTGCTATAGGTTCTTGCTTAGGAGCATTTAAGGAAGGAGCTTTAGTAGTAGTAGTGGTGATGGTTGTTCTTGCGGAAGGAATGTTATTTTGCACCTGAGGAGCTATAGCAGATTTGGATGAAGTTGATTTTCGTTTATTTGACGAAAACATCTTCGTATATTTTATCCACCAAAATGAATGAATGACACGTGGATGTTGTGCTTTGGATAAAAAAAAAAAAAAAAAAAATTTAAAGATTTATGTATAAACAGATGGCAGAAAAAAAAAATCGCAAAGCACTTTATTTATAGAAGAAAATGAAGGAATTACAGTGAGTTCATAAAAAAAAAAAAAATTTATATCATTAAAATTGTATACCGATTAGTTTGCTTACTCACATCTATGCAAATTACTGGTATCCAGCATGCATTAGTATAAATGAAAAAATGATTGGTTTTAATGTCAAAAGTTAAAAAGTTTAATTGATCTTCATACAAATATTTTTTGACAATATTTTTGTTTACATTACACTACTTTTTTGATAAAAAAAAAACGCACAGACAAAATGACATTATAATACAAATCATTAAAGAAATTTACGAATATTTGGCATATATTTCATTTCGTTTAGGCATTTCTATTAAAACTTTAATTAAAATTATGATTGTGTACAAACTTAATCGTATACATGTGAAATTTCGATATAACGTAAGCCTATGGAGAGGAGATGCCCATTTTAAGTCAACAAGTGTTATATGAAATTGTCAATCTCATACAAGACATGCCAGGGACATTAAATATATTATTTTGGTATGATAGTATTGGTTAAGCAGTGGTTAATATGTTAATATTATGAGCCAATAAAATTTTAAGGGATAGTCAGATGCTACGTATTAATATATATATATTACCTATTTACCCCCTTAGTACGTATTAATAAAAATTGTACAGTGCGTACGTACGTACGTAATTAAAAACACGAATCAGCACACTGAAAATAATAATAATTAATTATACCATAATAAAAACAGTTCTTACAATAGACCAGCTAAGAAAGATGGCGATAATTTCTCGGAGAATAGCGAAGAATGTTCAAAAGTAATATTAAAAGTTCACTTCAGGGAAGTGAAAAAGTTTGATCCCAAATGTTTCAAATACTTAATATTGGCATTGTAATGAAGTACAGTATATATTAAGAAATATTTAAGGAAAATCCTCATGTTTTTTTTTTGTTTGAAAGAATTAAATTTAATACATTCATATAAATTTATAAAGTTTGGTAATATCATAAAATCCAAATAATGAAGTAATAAGTTTAAAAATATATAGATTGAGTCGTTATCCTAATAAATTCAAATTTAATAATTAAGAAAGTTTTTTGCAGTAACATTATCAATTTTTAAGACTTGCAAAAAAATGTTATCTTCATATATCTAGTTAACACAATATATACAATATATCTTTAAGCCTTGTTACGTATACAAGTATAAATAAGGATTACTTATCCTTAATATTAAGTAATACAGTATTAAGTATTTATTATTTATTGTGAGAACGATGCTGAAATTTTATGTCGAAATCGTATGATGCTTAAATTTGTAGGTCCATTATAAAATAAACCTATTAAAATTTACTTGTTAATAACTTTAACCTTAAATCTTAACCTTACCTTAAATCCTAACCTTAATTTTAAACTTATGATTTAAAAAAAATATAAATGCACCCCTAAAACAGAGGTCCTCATTTCGACATTTATCACTTATACACTTACTAAAAATAGAGTTGTCATAAGAATCATTCAAAAAAATCAATTAATAAGGTAAGAATACTTGTTATTTGGCATTATGCGATGGATACATGGTTATCGGCAGAATAATGGCAAGAGCACGTGGCCAAAGTCTACGTGCGTTGCTATTATTCTGTCGAATTCATATCATTCCGGATAATTGGTTTACCTGACAAGCATAATATATATAATGACGAAAAAAATTTCATATTAATTGTATAATAAGTCCATCTCGAGTTATAAATCTTGGACTTTTTGTCAGATTTCGAAACTTTCGAAACTTTTGAAGGTTTATCGTTAAAATTTTTATTAGTATAGTTTTGCTTGCTTTTTAAGGATTTACTAATTTCTTCCAAATTTTTATTGAATGTGCTAACACATATATTACTCCCGTCTTAGTTTCTTAGGCGAAATCTTTAATTTTCATGTTATATCTGATCTTCTTTTCTGATTGGTTAGAACCGAAACTTGGGGAAATGTGCTTTGCGTAAAGACGCCTTGTTGTTATGCATTCATTCTTTATTACATACGTGTACATACGTAATGTATGTACGTACGTACCTACAGTACGTATGTATATGATATGCATCACACTTTTTGCAATGTGGTTCTGGATCTTGGTTGATAATTACTGTCAAATGTGCATACTAATAACGAAATTTTGGTTCTATACTAGATTTTGGATTTGCTGAGACTAAGTATCTAAAACCTGTTTGGCTGTTTTAGTAAAATAACCAATCAGATTTTAGTTTCACCAGCAACTCCAACTTTTGTTATTCGTATAGTGATAGCTTTTTTACGTATTAATATGTATATATAACGGATTTATAATAAATTTTTAAATTCAACGTCCATTATGTGTAAGCCTATTCCGTTATATGCATGTCCGTTATATCTATATTTCACGTACGTACTGTACGTAGTTCGATCAATATTTGTTTTTTTTTTATAAAAAATATGATTGTAAAAGTGAATTTTCACAAAATTCTTATTTTCGAAAGTCTTTGTTATTTATTGCCATTTTTAATACTTATAAGTGAATGAGTTTGCTTGGATTTTTTATAAAATTATCTTGTAAAACAACTTTTTTAAAAAATTTAAAATTTGAATAATTTTAATTAAATCACAATTATAACTTCTATACCAAGACAGAAACTTAAGTTACCAGGACAAGTACGTAAGATGATCTAAAGTATTTGTTATGCTTAAAAATACATTAATTATATGTAAATACTTACGATAAACCACAGCCAAAATTTAAAAATAAATAAATAAATAAATTACTAATAAAATAGTTATTACAATACTTACAAACTGTGCAATCTTAACAAAGAATTGATTGTGTAAAAGTAAAAATCGAAAAGAAACAAAGAAAAATACAAGTAAAATTGTTATGTAATAGTTATATCCTGGGTAGTTGGGTATAGTTGACATTTTGCAGTAAAGTATAATCGGTCACTTACGCGACCGATTGTATTTATTGCAAAATTTCACTTATACCTGACTACCCAGGATATAAGTGATTTATCCCCTGTTATCTACATAACATAACTTTCATGTACTTATTTTAAATCGAAACCTTTATTTTACGCATTGCTTTTGACATTTAAGATTAAATACATAAATGGGATAATACTCAATTACCTAATTAAATAGATATATGTTTAGTAGAAATAAGCACATGAAAAAAGTTACATTGGTGAGGTTGGCCAGGGGATAATTTTTTTTTAATTATCTGTTATATAACGAAAAGTAAATTAAAAAATAAATTTAGATGTTATTTCCATAATATTTTTAATGATAGTATTAAATCAATGTCAAAATTTAATGAATTAAATATAAATACATGAAGTTTGAAATTTATTGACTAAAGAACAAGTGCATGAGATGTGGCAAGATCAAATATCAGATATGGGTTTGGAAATTCAAATTAAAGTTACTCTGTACTATTCAGATTATACATTTAAAATTTGTTGGAAAGTGTGCACTTATAGAGGGCGTACACTTGTTGAGGAAAAATAATATGACTTACCATTGTACATTAAATTCTGTCCGTAACAGCCCTAACGCGCTAACATAAGCATAAGCAATAACATTAACGAACTTGTGAACTTTCTGGTACTATTGTGTGACAATATAATTTTGATGTGATGCTGGAAGATTTTATGTGTACTCTATCTTTAAATTGCAACAGGGTTTTTTATTACGTATTATTAAATGCATACTTTAAAATGATATAATTGGATTGGTTGATACCTACATGTTGGATCGATACGGTGCAATTAAATTAACCAATCCTATCGTTATGAGTGTTTTTAACAGAACATTACACAACATACAAACTTGTATTTATTTGGAGGTAACCTAGGCAAGTAATCTAGGCCGAGGTTATCTTTTTTTATTGAAAAGCTAGTAAACTACATAACAGAAAAGTAAGTAATTTGTTATTTAGCTAGAGCGGCGGTGACATCCCACAAAAGTATTGCACTGGAATCAGCGTCTGCCAGTTGTGAGTAAGGAATGATAGAATTACTGTCTCAAGTCCTGGATGGTGCTATTATTTGTTTGTTTGTTTGTTAGGATATGTGAGGCTGATGTGGTAGCCTCGAACTAAAAAGTATAAGAGTCTCGATAGTTCAGTTAATAATAGTAATACATTTTTTGAGTTCTTCCGATAAATAAGTAGTAAATATGCATAATGGTAATACAATGTACGTTTTGTTAATAATTTTCAACTGTCATTAATAATCGATTAAATAAAAGATGTCAGAGAGTTCAATCCAGAGTTACAACTTTGTAACCTGCGTATAAATGCTACAATAATAGGTTGTAAGAATTTTTTCCTAACAATCCTGTTTTAATTTTATCTTTTATTACTTGATTCATTTCATAAGATATGTTTTTAACCTATTTTCTACTAATTAACACGCTTAGGCTTCCTAAAGGTCATATTGTTGCTTCTTTTTCAATAATGTGATAAACTACTTTTTGCATGAATTTTAAAAACGATTACATACATACAGTGTTGGCCACATTAGGTCATGTTAACCACATTAGGTCGTGTCTACCTTTATCGTTATACGTATGATCAAGATGGTCAAATATAATAGTAAATTTTATAAGTTGTAACAGGTCATAAGGTCATACGTATTCTATAATTAGTCAGTAGGTCATAACAGGTTACTGTATAGGTAAACACCAAACACTGCATACCGATACGATACGATACGGAAAAATCTCAATCGATATAGAATTCGAATCCTTTATACAGAAAACAATATGCCAAGAATTAAATTTATTAATATCAATTATTCAAGTGTATTTTAAAATGTTATTGTTATTTTCAATAAATTTTTTAGAGTTAGTTACATCTTTTTATTCAATATAAAGTAATTGAGTTTTAAATTTATATATAATATATAAAAAAATATATATCGTCATTTCAGTTAAAGTTTATTAAATGAAAAGGGAATTAAATGCGAAACTTTCATTATATGAGAAGCTAATAAAATCATGCATTTTAAATCTAATACATCATGCAATCTCAAATTACCTAATTACCAAAGTTTATTAGATTTTTGAAGGTTCGCATGCTATAATCATTACAGTAACTGGTACACAATATGAGTTGTATCATATCTTTAATATCTGTTCGAGTAATTCATGAAAAGTTTATTGTATTGAAAAATAGATTTAATTAAAAAGTTAAATTAGTTAAATTAGCAAAAATCATATAAATACATTTTAGTAATATTCTTTTAAGCAAATAATTTTCAAAAAAAAAACCAAATACTGAAAAATGAATCAACAAGCAAACGTTACTAAAATTAATAAAAGAAAGGTTCTAATTACTGGTGGAAATGGATTCATTGTAATGTATACTCTTCAAATTTGAATAAAAATTAACCATTTTATATCATATATTGGTCATTGATATAATTATTTTCATAACTATCTATATAATCGATTAATCGGTTTATCAAGGGAAAAAATTTAGCAAAATACCTTCATAATCATGGTGATAACGTTCGTATAGTGGATATTTCACAAGATTCATCTGAAAAATCAGAAAATTATTGTTCCGAATTCATTCATGGGGACTTAAGAGATCTATCAATATGCCGTAAGGCAATAAAAGGAAGAAATTGGGTGTTTCATTTAGCTTCAGAAATAAATGAAAGTTATGACTTGAATAATTTTATTGCTTACAAAAATAATCATTTAATCACCATAAATATGGTGCAAGCTTCAATTGAAGCAGGAATAGATAGATTTTTTTATGCATCATCAACGTGCATACATTCACATGAAAAACAATTGAATCCTGATGAATTAGATTTAAAAGAAAACGATTTATGGGATTTATGGTATCAATACTACTCCAATAATGGGCCAAGTTTATATGGATGTGAAAAAATTAACGGTGAAATTTTGTTATCACAATCCATAAACTCGACAAAAATTAGAATCGCAAGGTTTGATAATGTATTCGGAGAAGGGAATAAATGGATCGGAAGAGGTGAAAATATTATAGCCTCATTAATTCGTAAGGTCATTTGCTCATTTAATGAGCAAGGTTATTATGAAATAGATATAAAGAATTCCGATGATGAAATCCAAAGTTTTTTATATATCAAAGATTGTATCGATGTTATCATTAAAATAATGGAAAGTGACTATTATAAACCATTAAACATTGGATCGGAAAATTCTGTTTCAATAAAAGAATTAATTTATATGACTTTGGAAACTATTGGAATAACGAAGGAACAAGTTAAATTTATAATGGATGAGAACAGTATTCAGAAAAATAAAAATTCCGATAATATACTTATTCATCAAGTTTTAGGATGGACACCTAAAACGTCGATTAGAGAATCTATAGAAAAAACAACGATATGGATAAAAAGTGAAATCGAGAAAGAATTAAATAAATGTGAAAATGAGTTGACTAGAAAAAAATTAAAGGAAAGATATAGAGAAAGTAGTAGTGAAACAAAAATATTTGATGATGAAATCAAATTTGGAATTCTTCTTCCGATTACTTCACGTGGTTTAAAAAATCCTAAAGATTGCCTTTATAATCTAAAGAATTTCGCAAAAAGTGTTTATGAAACAACACAAATGGACATTATGAGTATGAATGGTAGGAAATTTTCTTTAAATTTTTTTATTGGAATTGATAAAGATGATATTCTATTCCAACCCAAGGAGAATAATATAGCAGAACAAATCCTTAAAGAATATGGATTTATGGATGTAAAAACTCGCGAGTTTGATCTGCCTCCTGGATCCATATGTAAAATTTGGAATGATTTGGCAATTGATGCATATAATCACATGTGTGATTATATAGTCCTATTTGGTGATGACATTATAATTGAGAGTACAAATTGGATGTCAAAAACTCACGAAGAATTTATTAAAATTTCAAATGAGAAAAAAGTTCCATTGGGGTTTGGAATTGTTGCATTCACTGAATTAACCTTCCCAGGTTTTCCAACATTCCCTATAATGTCAAGAACTAATATTAATATATTTGGTGGTAAACCATTTCCAGTGATATTTACAAATCAAGATGCGGATCCATTTTTATTTCAATTGTATCGTAGGTTCGATTGTTCAGTTATGTCAAAACACCTGAAACTTAGGAATCTTATTGGAGGTAGCAGAAAACCGCGTTATAAGAGAATATATCACGATTGGAGATTTTCGGTTTTGGACAATGCAGTATTATCCGTTGAAAAATGGTTACATAATACAATGGAAACTCCTATTCCTAAACTAATAACGCTTGATATAATTATACCATCATACAGAGTTCAAATGCAATATTTAGAACCTATATTCCGACTTAAAAGATCTAAAACTGCATCTACGATGATAATAATAATTGTTGATAATCCAAATTCACCAAATATTAAAGATCTAAAAAAGTTTGAATATGATGCTTTCGTTCGTATTCGTGTACAAGGAAAAAATCTTGGTGCTAGTGAAGCTAGAAATAGAGGTTTATCCGAATCTAGTGCGGATTATGTCTTATTCCTTGACGATGATGTAATTCCAGATCCGGATATTTTAATAGAAGCAGAAAAAGTAATCCGAAAGTATCCAAATGCCTGTGGATTCATCGGATGTACTAAATTTCCTGATCCAAGTAAATCTATTTTTACAAGTGCTGTAGAAATGTCAGGAATAACCTATTTTTGGGATATTGCAGAGAAAATAGAGGAAAATATTCCATGGGGTGTAACTGCAAACTTATTAGTTCGTCGTTATAAAGATAATATAATGTTTAACACTACATTTCCGAAGACGGGAGGTGGAGAAGACGTTGACTACTGTCTTCAAAAAAGTCAATTTTTTATAAAAAATATTCCAAACAGTGAAGGTTTTAGAGCCGCACCTTCAGTAAAAGCAGTGCATCCATGGTGGAATAATGGGAAAAGGTCATACTTGAGATTTGCTAAATGGGCATATGGAGACGGACAATTAATTGCAATGTATCCAGAATACAGGTACAAAGACAATTTCCCCAATAGTGCAGAACTTTTTTTGTTACTTTCGTCACTTCTTTTGAATTTTCTTTTTATGAAAATTTTGATCAATGATCAAATATTGAATGAGTTAACGCTCGTAACAACTATATCTATACCATTGGTGGTGTTGGCAAATATGATCTTTGACGTTATTCGCTTCGTTATAATGGAACATGAATCATATGTTCCGGAATTAAAAGGATATCGACGAATAATTGCTGCGTCGGAAGCAGCAATTATACGAATTGCTAGTGAATTAGGAAGACTTGTTGGAAAACTAAACAGAAGGGAATGGAATTATATTCGGTGGCGATTCGATTGGTTTACAAATCGACTTGGTGATGATACTAAGAACATTGAAAAAAGATTTTCAATGATTAGATTTAATATATGGGCGATTTTGGTCCTGTCTGCATTTTGTTTTGTAAGATTTAATAATTCTCATGAATCAGAAAGATTGTTAGTATAAAGATTTCAAAAAGATTATGCAAAATCCTGTATCTAATTATATTGCTCTTAAATGTGCAGTATATATAATTTTATTGTTTATCATTCTTTGTTATAAGGTATCAAATATTATAAATGCAGAAATATGAATATATTGAAAATCTATATTAATAATTTGCAGTAAGGGAATGCAATTATTATATTAACAAGTAAAATTTTTACTAAACGTGTTGTGAAACAAAAGTTCTAATCCGGCATCAATTTTAGTGAGAAAATTAAATCAAACCAAGTTTTTGAAACACGAATGCAAAATATAAAAAAAAACCCCCGAAACTTGCATGTAGTATATTAGAGATGTTTCCAAGTCATTATAATTAAAATATTTATTTAATCGGAAAAGGTGGTTGTCATGATTAAGTAAATATTCTAACGTGTTCAGAATAATTGAATAGATAAATCACAAGTAGTTGAAGTCACAAATGGTTGAAATTACTGAGGTTCTAAAATCTTTAGGTTTTAAATTAAAAGTGCAAGAATCTAAATTAATACTGATTTGATAAATCTAAAACCCGATTATATATGCTGTTGAACCTTTCAAAATCGATATGTAAGGTAGACGGGTTTTTATTAGTATTTAGAAGTTATCAGTTCTGAAAAACATTATGAAGGTTCAAGTATATTGCAATTATTAGATCAATTATTAGGAATAATTGGGGGTTGGATAAGAGTCAAAGTGCCGCAAATCTGCCGAATTGTATTATATACAGTATAAACAATTTAAATCAATATTATAGTACTCCAAATGGATATGATTGATAAATTTTATTTATAAACATATAAAAAATAAAAAGATAATTTTAATGCTCACCAGAGATGAAATTCATCGGGTATGCAGTTTCTCAAAAACAGTTTAGATAATCAATATTTAGTACTGTACATTAAGTAAAAATGTTTAGTATCCTAAAAAAAGACCAACTTTTACTTTATTTTAAACCTTAAACCCTAACCTAAAGTTTAATTATAAATACATAATAATATTTGAAAACATATCATGGTGAATTTCACCTCGTGAATATTAAATAAGTTTAAAAAAAAAAAATCATATATTACAGCGTCATCACACGGAAATCTTCAAAATTTCAAATAAATTTCGTGCTTTTTTTTGAATCAAAAAACTAATAATAATTGAAAAATAAAATATGACAATATATTTTTTTTCCTATCTATACTGCTTTGAAACTTTTACTATCCATAAAAACTGTAAACATTATTTTGACCAATTTAACGATATTAAAATCCATTATTATTATTGTTGTTGACGAATTGCCAGACCAATTTATTAAAAGTTATTTAATACCAAAATTTTAAAGAAACTTAAGAAAATACTAATAAAAACTCGTCAGCCTAAGAAGACTAACTTTGACCATAAAAAAAAAATTTATTACGATAACAACTGAAACTAAAACTAATTTAAATTCGATAAATGTAGTTTACGAGCTACTAAAGTTTAGACAAAAAAATAATCATAATGATAATAATTATTAAATTTTATTATGTGAAATTAATTGCTGTAATGTTTGTAAATACGATAAAGAGCACAAAATACTTTTCTTTATTAACACAATCCAATATATACTAGCACAACATGTGACATTATGTACCATGATTCTGATAGCTCAACGTCAACCATAAAAACTTAGAAAGCAAATTTGTCTCTAAAATTGGATAAGATAATAGCCTCTTGATCAGAGCAAATGGTACACTAAAAAAAATTTTCCTAAAATTCATGCTATAGAATAGAGTGACATAAGGTTATCTGTTACTGCAATTACTTTCTTTTTGAACCTTTTATTTATAATAATGGATCAATCATATTTTGTGCAAAAGAATAATATTTCATATCATCTATTAAAGGAATACAATGTGAGAGTAAATAATATTCCAATAGGTAGATAATAAAAAAAAACATAAAAAAACGAAACAATTAACACAATACTTTATACTTTCAGTGTTAATTAAATTCACGATTCACTTGACATGATTAATCATCATTGGAAGCTAAGTCATCCTCGAGGACTGCATATTCATTGGAATCTAAATATTCAGTGCGAGCTGAATAACCTAACCCCAACTCTGGATATTGTAAAGGAGTCTTTTTTAAAATCGGTGGGAGATGCTCAACATCTAACGGAACAGATGGTCCAATCCAAGCACTTCGAGAAGTATGATCCTTGACTAGTTCTTTGGTCAATGGATGAATGAGTATAGAAAGATCTCCACGATGAAGAAGGAACCACGAGTAAACTCGTGAAAAGTG